CCAACGTTCAGTGGCTTTATGGAAAATAATTAATATTGGTTACATATTTTGAAAATTTTGACAATTATGCGCATGCGCAAGTTGTCATGTTGTAAATTTTGTATTTACTGCCACCCGGTAAATTCAAAATTTACAACATGACAATACTTATGATGTGTTTAGACTTTAAACACATCTGCTGTTATGTGTTTAGAATTTAAACACTTGAGTTTATGTGTTTAGATATGTTTAATTTCTAAGCACACAAGTGTTTAAATTCTAAACACTTTCTAAGACATGTTTAGGAATTTTACATGTTTAGAAATTAAACATATAAAAAAGGAGGTGACAAGTAAGTGTTTAGAAAAGTGTTTGAATTGTAAACACATTTTTTACAGTGAATGAGATATCGGACCTGTCGATGAGATATTGGACTGCTTACCTCGCACTCCGGGTGGGCTCAGCTATATCTTATCTGCATTTGCTGGCGACAGAACCTTACAGAATTGACCGAGTTTAAACCGAAGTGCGGGTGAACGAAATTTACATCATGGAAGTCAGCATATGATATGGCAAAAAAAGAAAAAGATATAACAAAATATTTATTGAATGTGATCTCGGGCGTTTTGCCGATCCCTCAAATCAAACTGTTTGAGTCAGGCAAACAGTTTTGTTCTTGGGTCCGACAGAACGCATGTTGCCCTTCAACTCAGTCAATAAAAATATTTTGTTTTGTTTGTTTGTTGTTTAACGTCAAGCTCGAGAATTTTTCACTCATATGAAGACGCCATCACTTGGCGGTGGAGAGCTGCAAATTCTGTCCTATGCTCGGCACTTACGGCCATTGAGCAGTGAGGGATCTTTTTCGTGCCAACACCTACACGGGACCACGGTTTATACGATCTCATTCGGAGGATCGGTCTCCACGTCCCACAGTGGGATTCGAACCCTCGACGTAAGGATCAACTCCTTACTTCGCAAGTTTAAGGCAAACGCTCTAACCACTGCGCCATGCGGGCGACTAAAAATATTTTGAGATGGCAGCTTAAATATACGAAGAAATAAATCGAAAAACAGCACACTTTTTGTGCACAATAAATATTAGGGCTGGGTAACGGTTGGAAATTTTGTATTGCGATATTTGGAACTGTATTGCGATATGTATTGCAATATTTTTAATAACAGTTAAAATGCTCTTTTTTTATTTTTTAACCTCCATTTATAGCAGAGTGTATAAAACTTTTATAAATACGTTGTAACAAAAAAGTTCTATTTGATTTCACTACAGTTTGGCAACGAAATGCAACCATACAATTAGAAACCTTTACTGTTTGGTACTGTTTGGCACGATTGAAAACGTTTCTGACATCTTAAATTTCATATTTTACTTCATAAGTCTAAAGCTCGATCATTTTGACGGTATATCGGTACTGGAAAAACGTATATTGCGATACGATGATTTTTGTTAACGAATCGCAACATACCGGAATATCGATATTATTGCGCAGCCTTTATAAATATGTAAACTTTTTTCAATGGGTGGCGCTGTACATACTAGCATTTTCTGGTCGTACATCCCATTTCTGTTCAGACCAGCGAGCTACAATTCTGCAGATGTCTGTAAGTACCATGGATTCTCAATTACCGACTGCCAACATGTGACAATTTAGTAAAAGCAAGACCCACGCAAGTGTAAACAGCTGCATGGCTCTCCCATTTCAATTTTAGAGAATAAGATCAAAATAAGTTTATTTTTAACTTATTTCTTCCAAATCTCTATAAACAATTGTAAACGATACTTTGTTTTACGAAAATAATGTAAACAACTGTTGTGTATTGTTTAATTAGGCCATTCCAAGTTTTTTCTCTGTTTAGCGTCCACCCATCTTTCAAAAACCTACCTACCTATTCGCAAAAAACACACAAGCCCCCCCCCCCCCCCCCCTTTAAGAAAACCCCACAGAATTTAAATAATCTTATAAATAACGTCATTCAAAGCATTCGATTTCATTAATCTATTTTTCTTATAGAAAGATATATTCTTTATCAACATCATGGTGTTAAATGCTTAAAATTATACATAATATGACATATTGTTGACAAATACTTATAGAAACTGACAGAATTCAAAGATTTCGACCAGAATAATCAATTTCAGGACTCCTGATTTTGTTTTTGTTTTTTTCTGATATGGGGTATCAAAAACCAAAGCGCACGCGGACGCTAAACATAAAAAAAAAAAATAAAAAATGGAATAGTCTTACTTGTAAATAAATCTTTAACTTTAAAGATTTTAAAAATAATTTTTTTTTGTTTAAAAACCAATTAATACATTAAATATAAAATAAAAATAAAATTTGTGTCTTCTTTAACATTTTGTACATTCATACTAGAGTGTTTAATATCTGCTATGAGCGTGAAAATTGTCCTTATATATATTTGACTAGTTTTGAACGCCAAAGGATATAAATATTTACATGTAGAAGAAGCTATTTTAAAAAAAAGGCTAGTTTTGGCGTTCTGAACATCGAATCAAATTAATTGTTTTCACGACCTTGAATTTTAAAATTAATTGTTTTCACGACCTAGAATTTAAAAATAATTCGCAAGAAATAAATAACTCCTTTACGTAACAAAATTACTTTGGTCGCTTGTTTACTCAGCATATCAATATATTCGAACTGAGACTTTGGGGGTGGGCTGGATCTAGCCCCCAGCCCTTTCGTTCGTTTATTCCCCTATTTTTGAATGCAATAGTTGCATATTCAGACCTGTGTGTGACCATTGAGCAATGAGCAAACTTTTTTGGTCTATATTTTTTCGTCCAATCCGTCTGGATAAATTCCTTATTCAGCATGTATGCTCTGCGACTCTATAGAACGAAGAGCGACACTACACCATGCGGAACACGTGGAGGGAAATACTATATTTAAGATACGTGTCAATAAAAAAAGGGTTAAAATATTAATTTAAAAATAAATCTGAATTTATTCAACATGAAAATATCTTTTATATATATACATATATATATATATATATATATATATATATATATATATATATATATATATATATATATATATATATATATATATATATACTCACCTGATGCATGATAATACACACAGTGTTGGTCTGATGATACAACAACCTGTTTCGGGCGAGAAAATACTATATTTAAGATACGTGTCAATAAAAGATATATATTTTTTGAAATACCTATTTTCATGTTTTTCATTTTAAAGATATCAGGCACTTAGCATCGTTTTTTTTCACAGTGGTGGTGATGCAGTCAGAAAATAATTGTCCAGTTTACATAAATAAATAAATAAATAAATATTTTTAAAAAATGAAAACTGCGCAAGCGTCGAAAAAACTTACAACCCACTTCATAGAGGGATATATGTCTCACTCTCTCTTTTCGACAAAAACTGTTTTATACAATAAAAAACGTGGGAGGGTTCGACAACACTGCATCAAAACTTCATGAAAACTTACATACTAAAATCGGCAACACACTTAAAAAAAATTACAAAAATTAAAAAAAAAAAAAAAAAAAAAAAAAAAAAAAAAAAAAATGGGGATCTTGCAATCTCATGATCAGCCGGATACTGATCACGGTTTCTTTTTCAAAAGATAGGATGGAACGTAAATGAAACATTACAACATAATTTGTAAAGTAGTACTTACGTGGAGACTTCATCAGGTGCTTTGCTTATGACGTTAAGTCATTGTGACGTCATAATAAACAAAAACCCGAATATAAAATCGGCAATTATATTATAAAGGCGACATAACATATTAAAATGCTACCACATTATTGGTTTTGTTTATATTTTGAGCGGATATGTGTATGGTCATGAAATAAAATAATGACACAGAGCGGTTAAGGTAAATAAAAACGCATAGACTGTATTATATAAAGAAATAGGAATGCATATATAGCTGTGGAAACCCGAGTGTATGTGTTCACCCCACCCCCCCCCCCCATAATTTTGCCGATAAGATGGAGAACATGGCTACTCTATATGCTTGTGTCCTTCAATAATAAACCTTTTTTTTTAAGAAAAAAAAATCTTTTTTTTTTCTTGTCAAGGAATTTTTGCTTAGTTATCCCCACCCCCTCCGAAATTTTTATTCATATACAGAAAAAAAGAAGATTTTTTTCCCAAATCAATTAAGGCCTTATGGGCCATGACATATAACCAGGGACCTAGTATATAGGTCCCTGATATAACAAATATGATTACACATATATGCACATTATATAGATTAATACAAATTGAATGTAGACCATTATTCAGTAATGGTATGATGACTAGATAGATATAATGTAAATTCGAGAATCAGCTCATTGTTCAATTTGTATAATGGTATATACATTTTTACGCAATTTTAGACGTGCTAGCACGATTATATTGAAAACAATTTTTTATGGAGGGAGTTATATGTAGATTCTGGGTATCAGTAGTATTATGTCTAGAAAAAGAAATCTTTAAAAATTGGTTTACTCATCATAAATTTATAATATAATATAATTTATATAATAAATTAAGTAATAATGTAAGTACAAGTATATATATTTTGAGTAATTCTTCATTGCGTGTATCAGTGTAAGCGCATTTCTGTATAAAATAATGACTGTTTTCCTTTGTACTTTTCTATCAATGGTTTATCGGTATATCTTATCGTAACGGAATCTTTATCTCGCCCACACATTTACACTTCGTACATAAATATACAAGGCATTTAACCGTGAAATCAATTTTGATATTTTTGCACAAATTCTCTGTTTAACATGATCATGAACATGAATACTGAGTTGATCCGCGCCAGCTAAGTTCACAATCTTAGCCAGAAATTAGCATGGATATTTTCCCTACAAATCCGCTAAAAACTACTTATCCCCGATAAACTAAAAGAGTTCAGTTCGACGACCGTATTCTGTTGTTTGTGTTCCATTCCAATAACATTGGCGTAGGGGTTGCGGCTTGCAAGGTGTGCTTCGGTTCAATAAATGTATTCATGCCCGGATCCAAACATTACGTACAAGAGAAGCACGAATATTCTCCCCAATGTATTTGCTTGAATGGCGTGTATGTATCTATGTAGCCTCGTATTGTACGCGTTAGCGGAGGGATTAACCGCTACCAGGGGTATGTACCATATAGCATTTACAATTTTTCTTGAAATCGCCATTTTTTATCCAAGCTACATACTGTTGACCTCGCGATTACAAAAAACCAATATGGCCGATCATCCTTTGGCCAAGTAAGTTCATGGGGTCTTTTACCTCGCTCAAAGTGACCAGGGAATTTAATTCTTTGGGAAACCTGACCTTGAACATTCTTTAATTGGTTTTTATGAAGCGTTCCAGCATGTCTTCGTTTATTTCTGTTTTGAAACAACGTGCATCGCGGTTTGTTTTGATTTTTTTCGCTCGCATGTTTTTGCTGTGTATTCAATGAATAAAAAAAATGTGTTGAGGCCCCCGACGGGGTCACAATTTCGAAAGGTTGTTTTTCATAATAATTTTGTAATATAAATACTGTTTGCATTAATTTAAGAATAATAAAGTTTAAGTTCTGTTGCTATTATTATTTTTTTTTTTTGGCTTTGTGAAAAACAATCCAGGAAGGCCATTGCAATATTGAAGAATCCATTTAAAAAGGCAATGACCTGAAATATAACATCACATTCTAAAGAGAAAAGCATTTTACATGCATTATATTAATATCAAAGTGTTTCATGAACTGACAATGTTATATTGTAGCCTTGGTATATTTATTTTTGATAATTTTACAAACTACTGTTACACGGGAACAATAATACATCATTAATTCATCAGTTACGTGAATAATGGCATGGTGACCCGATTATGCAGGGCCGGGAAAGGGCAGCCATTTTGTGTATCCTTCGTAAACAAAATTGTGCTTGCTATATATATTATAACATGCTTTGTGCAGGGTTGCATGAAATTCAAGTTGTGTCATTTCCACATTGATTGTGTAAGATTAGGTAAAAAAAAATTACTAAAATTTCTTTCCAAATATTGTTTTCATTTAATAATATAAACAAAAATATCATCATGATTATACAAAAGTAAGTATTTTTACTCTGAAGCAGTGCCATTTTACTCAGTTGTATTAAATGATTTATGTTAGACATTTACGATTTACAGCCATCAATAAATTGAAATAAACCCTACAATTTTGAAATTGGCTCACCTGAGTCAAAGGCTTAAAAGAAGATCCTGATATTGAGTATTGAGATGGACTTACAAAAGTAAAGCAGTGGTCATGCAGTGAGATGTGATTTTTTTTGGGGTCAGCTGAATGTAGTCTATGCGAAAGTCACTGGACTGTCGGTTTTTACTGGTAAAATTTGGTTTGGGTAGGTAAAAAAAAAATCAGGATTCAGGACCAATTGTCCAATGAAAAAATAAGGCCTAAAAATCAGAACATATACATATGTACATATGATCTTAACTTCCACATATATCCTTTATTTGATCCATTAAGCAGTAATACATAATTAATTTTAATCTTTAACAACCATGTCATGATCGTTTATTTCTAATTCGAATTTCCTATGTCATGGAATAGAGATCTAAAGATAGCTCATATGTAGATTTGGTTGGGGGAAATTATTTTCATTATTAAGTTATTTCAGGAAATAAATAAATATATATTAAAGTGCATTTTAAGTTAAAATCTTTGACATGTGTATTTCGTTTATAACCAGAAAAAAGAAAAAAAATTATGCAATTGTATACTACCTATTAAAAAGAAAAATTATTAATAGTAAGCTTGTTCATTTCAATAAAATCATTTTTTATAATCTTTACTTATCTCTGGATTTACTTAAGGTTCAATTTAATAGTGAGAATTACCCCCTACCCCACCCCCTTTTCAATCTCTGTATCATAATAATGCATGAATTTAAAGAAAAAAGATCAGTCTGGTAACTAATGATTTGTCTGGTAAATTATATATTTTTACCAGACCGTATGTCCTGTAAAAATTTCAGACTTTCGCATAGACTGTGAATGAGATATATTTGAATCCTTTAAGGGTCACCCATTAGTCAGTATAGCACGCTATGATTTTGTCCTTTGTGACATATCATTTGTTGTATTAATTGATGGCAATTTTTGAACATTTTGAGCTTCCTCTATGGATTAACTGAACCAATTTCAACCAATTTTGGTATAGAACATAGATGGGCATGTTTGTCCCTAATACCCCGCCTATAATGATGTAATCTTCTCTCCCGGTTTTTCTGGTATTCCCCCTCAACCCCTTGTTAGGGGAGGAACCCTTGACCCCTTTCTAATTTTTTAATCTCCCCTGCTATTTCATTTCTTAGGTACAACCCTGGATGGGTAATGAAATGGAATACATATTATTAATTTCATCTTGGTCCCTCCCTCCAGGGCTCTCACACCACTTTCTGGGATGGGGGCCGGGGCCGTTCAAATTGGGAAAATTTTTTGTCATTTTGGGGAAAATTGGGAAAACCTGGTTCCTTATCGAAGCCAAACCACCTTACGAATATATGTGACATGCACTAATTTATATAGTCCAACACAGAACTAGTTTGTCTCACTTTCACTTGTTGGTGATTAAGTTTCATCAATTAAGATTTATTAGGTCACCTGAGTCACTCAGGTGACCTATTGCTATCCGTTTTTGTCCGTCGGCGTGCGACGTGCGATGTGCGTTAACATTTGAACATTTTTAGCTTCTTCTCTGAAACCGCTCAACCAATTTCAACCAAATTTGGCATATAGCATCTATGGGTGAAGGGGAACAAAAGTTATGAATTTCATGATCCCTGCCCCCCTGGGGCCTGAGGGGTGGGGCTAAAACCACCAAAATTAATGCAATCTTTAAAAATCTTCTTCTTTACTCCTGAACATCAAGCAGTCAAACTGTTGGCATGATTGTAATAAGCATTGACCCCTCTACCAAAATTTTGAAATTCATGGCCCCAGGGTCAGGGGTTCTGGTGCTAGGGAGGGGCTATATAGATTATATAGTGAAAGTGCATTATTTCTTTGAAAATCTTCTTCTCTGCTCCTGGGTATTAAATAAACTAACTAAGTATATAGTTATGATGAGTAAGAGTGCCTCTTTCAAAATTGTGAATTTCATGGCCCCAGGGGCAGGGGTTCTGGTGTAAGGGCGGGGCTCTATTGATTATAATAGTGAAAATGCATTACTTCTTTGAAAATCTTCTCCTCTGCTCCTGGGTATTAACTACAGTAACTAAGTACATAGTTATGATAAGCAAAAGTGCCTCTTCCAAAATTGTGAATTTCATGGCCCCAGGGTCAGGGGTTCTGGTGTTAGGGAGGGGCTCTATTGATTATATAGTGAAAATGCATTAATTCATTGAAAGTCTTCTTCTCTGCTCCTGGGTATTAAATAAAGTAATTGAGTACATAGTAAGGATGAGCAAGAGTGCTTCTTTCAAAATTATGAATTTCATGGCCCCAGGGGTAGGGGTTCTGGTGTTAGGGCGGGGCTCTATTGATTATATAGTGAAAATGCCTTAATTCTTTGAAAATCTACTTCTCTGCTCCTGGGTATTATTGAAACAAATTAAATACATAGTTTTGATAAGCAAGGATGCCTCTTCCAAAATTGGGAATTTCGTGGCTCCTGGATCAGGAGTTCTGGTGTTAGAGCGGGGCTCTATTGATTTAATGTGAAAATGTTTTAATTCTTTAAAAATCTTTTTCTCTGCCCCTGGGTATTATTCAAACAAACTAAGTACATTGTTATGATAAACAATGATGCCTCTTCCAAAATTGTGAAATTCATGGCCCCGGGGACAGGAGTTCTGGTGCTAGGGCGGGGCTATATAGATCCTGTAGTGAAGGTGAATTATTTCTTTGTAAATCTTCTTCTCTGCCCCTGGGTATTGTTTAAACAATTTAAGTACATTGTTATGATAGGCAAGGATGCCTCTTCCAAAATTGTGAATTTTATGACCCCAGAGTTAAGGGTTCTGGTGAGGGGGAGGGGGGAGGCTTCTATTGATTATAAAGTGAAAAAGCAAAATTTATTTGAAAATTTCTGCTTCTGGTTAAAAAAGCAATAAAGCTAAGTGTATAGTTATGATGAGTAAGAGTGCTTCTTCCAGAGTAGTGAATTTCATGACCCCAGGGTCAGATGTGCTGGTGTGAGGGTGGGGCTCTTGATAATATAGTAAAAATGCATTAATTCTATTAAATAATCCTGTTTGCTCCTTGGTGTTAAGCAGATAAACAAAGTGATTAGTTATAATGAACAAACTTATGGTCCCAGGGTCAGAAGCTCTGGTGTTGGAGGGGGGGGGGGGGGGGCTCTATTGATAATATAGTGAATCTGTAGTAAAAATGCATTATTTCTTTAAAAATCTTCTCCGCACCTGGGCATATCAGAGGCAAAAAGAGTAAAAGTTTTAATAAGGAAGATTATTTTTACCAGATTTTTGAACATCTGGACCATTTGGTCAAGTGTTCTGGTCATGGCCAGGGCTCTATTATTTTGTATTCTACTGAGAGGAGTTATTCCCCTTTGCCATTTACTTTTGATAATTTATCACTGTAAATAATGTACTTGAAAGGTAAATAGAATAAGATAATTATGCAAAAACTTTTATTGTATAATACAAAAAGTACTTTCATAGTTTTAATGATCAGATAGACTTGTAAGTAGTAGATAAATAAAAATGAGACAAAAATAACTTGTCTTATTAAATGTCCATCAAGGACCAAGAGAGGCCAATGTAAGAAATTTCAACAAAGGATTAAAATAGTACAGAAGCATTGATAATTTGTTAATATACTGTATGGTGAAAGTGATAAATAGGGATCAGATTTATAGAACATAATTTATAAACTGTCAATGAATATTAAGACAAATTATTTTGTTGATCATGATCACCCTATTTTTCTTGCTTTTTGGCAACAAAGTTTCACCTTTCAGTTCATATTATACTCTATGCATCCTTTAAATTGTTGTATCATACTCAGGTGACCGTTAAGGCCCTTGGGCCTCTTGTTTAAAAAAAATTTGCTATAAAAAATTTGGGAAATTTACACTTTGCTTTTGGGGAAAAAGGTACCGTTTTTGCATTGGGAGTGGGGCTGTTCAACGGCCCCAAT